ATGACACAGCCATGACAGCTTCAGGACCCAGCTCTGGGGACCTTCACTGGCAAAGACTCTTGTCCTGTCTGGATTTTCCCCCAGAGAAAGAGGCCCTTTCTCCTCCCTCCAAGGCATTCTTTGCTCAGCCAAACCCCTGGGGATCGCATCTGCCCAAGGGGGCCTCTTTCCAGGCAGCGGTAGGCACCATTGAATGCAGTCCAGCCTTTGGGGAACTTGCTTCAGGGGCTCTGAATTGAGTCTGCTTCGGGTACAGGGTTTGGCCCTAGGGCTCAGGTCCTTCTCCAGCACCTTCGGGGCTTACCGTTCAGCAGCCCTACTAGGCTTGGGGGCAAACCGAGTTCTAGGAGGGTGTCTGGGTAGCCTTTCTTCCACACAGTCCATTCTGTGTTCATTTGGCAAATATTTGTGTCTCTCCTCTCTCAGCCAAAGCCTGATCTCAGCCAGGGGAAATATGCAGAACAGGAAAGACAAGGCCCTTGCCTCTGTGAAGCTGGCATCCTAGTGGGGGAGCCAGATAAGGAACAAGTAAATTAAGTCAACAAGACCGTGCTGAGTGAGCTATGAGGAAAACAGAATGGTTATGGCGGCCCAAGTGGCGTGGGGGAGGGAACGGCTCACACCTTCCTGAGAAAGTGGCTCTCCGGGAAGAAGGGGGCTGTGCCAAGGTAGGAAGAACTCTCCAGGGAACAAGAAGGGCAAAGCTCAGCCCCGTCCCCGCCAGAGGCTGGGCAAGCTTGAGTGAGGGGAGGCACGAATGCACTCATATGCTCTTCCAGAACCTTCTTTCCTTGCCTCAGCTCCAAGGTGTTAAAAAGGGTTTAAGGAGCCCAAGAGCTCACCTGAGTGTGCTGTGTTGAAGACCCTGGGGGTGGGGTAGGGTGGCTCTTGCTGGAAAGAGGTGGGGATAAGCAGGGCCAGGAGGATGACCCTGAGTGGCTGTTTGGAAGGTTGGTGAGAAGGTAGCCAGCTGCTGGGGCTATATGGGGTATGGGAATGATGAATTAGGGGGTGCAGATTTGGGCCTGCCTATGTTGCCTAGGTTCGAACCTAGGGCTTCCTGTGTGCTAGGCATGGGCCCTACCACCAAGCTATACAGCCTTAGCTCTCTTTTTACTTTTCATTTTGAGGCAGGGTCTTACTAAGTTACCCTGGCCCACCTTGAATTTACAGTCTTTCTAAGTAGCTGGAACTATAGGCCAGTAGATTCCAGGCAGGCCGGCTACCACTGAGCCAAACCCTAGCTCCTCACTGGGGGATTCTAGGCAGGAGCTCTACCACTGAGCCACACCCCCAGCCCCTCACTGGGGGATTCTAGGCAAGGGCTCTACCAATGACCCACACCCACAGCCCCTCACTGGGTAATTCTAGGCAGGGGCTCTACCACTGAGCCACACCCCTCACTGGGAGATTCTGGGTGAGCAATACCACTTGCACCATTATCACCAGCCTTGAAGTAATACTAATTTAAGATGGGAAATCTAGAATATATTTTACCTAATGGTTCTTGGATTTGATAATTTTTTAAAAAAATTATTTAACTTTGTTTTACACACATTGGTACGAAGGTGTCAGACCCCTTGGAACTGGAGTTACAGACAGTTATGCGCTGCCATGTGGGTGCTACTGATTGAGCCCAGGTCCTCTGGAAGAGCAGCCAGTGCTCTTAAGTACGGAGCCCTGGTTTTGGTAATTTTGGGAGGATGGCATTTGGATTTGGTTTTCTTCTTCCTCCCTTCCTGTCTTTGGTTTTTCACAGGGTTTCGCTGTATTGCTTTGGAGGCTGTCCTGGAACTCACTCTGTAGACCAGGCTGGCCTCAAACTCACAGAGATCCACCTGCCTCTGCGTCCTGAATGCTGGGATTAAATGTGTTCGCCACCACCACTTGGCTTTTTTTTTTTTTAAGGCAGAGTCTCATTGTGGAACCCAGGCTGGCCTGAAACTCCCTGTGTAGCTTCCGCTGGTCTTTAACTCTCGGTGAGAGTACAGAGCCCGTGATTCTCCTTCCTCTGGCTCCCCAGTGCTTAGATTACAGTCACGTGTGACCAAGGCCTGCCTGAATGGTAGTTTGGGATTTGGGGTCTGTGCCACAGACACTTGGAGAAGAGGCGCCCATGTCCAGCATTTGCTCTCTCGGTGCTTCCTTGCTGAGTGGGGCTTTGTCAAGGAGCTTTACGTCAAGAACTTTCCTCAATTTGCTGAACAAAACTGACAGTGAAGTTTTAAACTTTTTTCTTCAGTTTGATTTGATTTTCTTCTGGACTTGCCTGCTTCTGCGTATCTGCTAATAGCGTGGAGCCCTTGGGAAGCATAAGCCAATGATGAGAGTAATCACACAGGCCTTGTAGTCAGTGAACTGGAAGACGGCGGATCCTCATGAACTCAGGATCTTTCTGATCTACGGCATACCCAGGGTTGTGATCTCACGTGACATCCAGGGTTACGTTTCCTAACAGGCAAATCACTTTTGAGATGTCTCGTAGAGAATAATCCCATAATGGCTTTGCCTGAGGTCGGGTTGAGAAGCCCGGAGTAGTACCTCACCAGGCATCCCATAATCATGCCAAAGTGAGTTTTCCAGTGCTATTAGCTCCTGGAGAGAACAGAACCCCCAACCCTGTATGCCACTAGAAGCAAACAGGGTGAAGAACAGCTCAAGAGGGTCTTTCCTATTCATCAGCATCACCAGCATGCCCAGAACTGAGCTCAGCCTAATCCTTCCCAATCCTTCCCCACGCCCCACCGCGGATTCCCGGGAAACACTCATTCAGCAGGTCAATGATAGGTACAGGTACATATTTTAACGGGTCCGTGGAGCCCCTCACTTCCCCGGGGCCTCCTGGTGGGACAGGATATGTAATCTGCCTGGTGATCGCGGCAGCTTCTCCGATAACTAATAAACGATGGATAAGAAACACTCCACCCTGCCACAAACTCAGGCCAGTGTGCTTCAGGGGCTCGGAGGAAGACTTACATATTTCACAAGATGGCAACTCCAGCCGGGAAAGCCTGGCAGAGCTTGTTTAAACAGAGCCTGCCCTCTGTCCCCATCCTAGGTGTCCTCTGTAGTTTGTTGTGGCAGAAGGAGTAGGTGGGAACAAGTTCTTTCTGTGTGGCCTAGACTGTCAATGGACCTGTAATCCTCCTGCCTCAGCTTCTAGAGTGCTGAGATTATGAGTACGTAGGGGCATGTCGTGCTACACTGTTTTTGTTTTTTGGGTTTTTTTTTTTTTTTTTTTTTTTGCCTCCGCTGTTTCTCTCCTAGCTACAAGCCCCCCTCTCCATTTCCAGCCTCTCAGGAACCCAAATGGAACAAAGAAGCTCCGGGACCAGGGACCAGAGGATAAATGCCCGAGACAAAGTGGCCGTTTCCCTTACCTAGGATGGCCTTGGCCATCAACCCAACCCTGTCTGTAGATCCAGCCTTATCTAGGCCCCTCCCTAGCTCGCCCCACACTCCAGGCTGTCAAACACCTCCTCCCTTGTTACCGGCTCCCTTGTTACCTTTGAACCTGCGGTACCCTCCTTCAAGGGAAAAAAAAAAGGCTTTCCTTCCTTATCCTTCCAGCGAATTCCTGCCCGTTTCGGGGAAATGGCTCAAAAGCTCACTCGCGCGCGGAGCCCTCCTCTCTCGCCTCGTGCCCCAGAGGGTCTGTCTCAGTGGGATTCCACAAACTGAGTCGTGTAAAGATAACACAGTAGACCCTTACCCCCCCCCCCCTGGAGGCAGGAAATCTGAGACCAAAAGCCAGCCAACTGGCTGGCTGCCTTCTGCAGAGCCCGGTATTGGTGTCTTACACAGGCTTAATCCTGGTTTCCGTCTCTCAAGACGCGGGGCCCATTTCCCGGGTGACGGCTTGCCCCCCCTACCAGCTACCTGTACCATATGCAGAAACGATTCTCACTCATCCCTGGGAATTTAGGAGGATAAAAAGGATCCTGTCAGCTATTCAGGACCTGCAGGCTTTGGGCCGGAGGCCCCGTTCCCCACCCCCAATACTTGTTACGCCTTTCCTGGGTGACTCCAGCCTCTTTCACCAACCCTAAATTCCTGTGCTTGCACCAGTGAGGACGGCTATGGATATGCCTGGTGTCAGCCTCCTGCTTACCTCAGCTAGGGACTCACAGCGTTCTCCTTTACTTCGAAGGGGGGGCGGGGGAGCAAATAAACAATTATTTTTAGCTTACTAGAAAGCTGAAGATCCCACTTGGTTTTTTTAAGGATTTCTCTCCAGGGGGACACTCCACAGGTGCATGGTGTGTATACATGGGTGGTGGCGCATCTGGTCCAGAGAGCAAGGCTCCCTCCCGCCCACAGCAGGTTGCTTAGTGTATCTGCTTTTTACGCTCTCAAGTTCAAAAGCATCAAGCTAAAAATATCTTGTTTACGCGCTCTGGCCCGAAAATGAAGCAGTTTGGGTCATTAATCACCCAGAATATGTTGAATGGGAATTTGATTAAAAGACAGGATGCGTCCTCCAGACGAAGTCGGTTCTTTACCCGTAACCACAGCGGGAGCCCAGCGGGCCTCCCCAGCTGAGTTTTTAGCCGCGCCTCCTTGAGCCTCCTGGGAGGATCGCAGCGCCTTTCCCGGGCTAAGAGGGCCATTGCTCAGGGGGTCTTGACCTGTGCACCCTGGAGTTTCAGGAACAGGGACCCACCCAGCCTGCCATGCAGACAAATGGGGCTCGGGAAGACGTCAGGCAGGCCTCAGCTCAAGAAGCCGCCAAAGGCTCCTCGGGGTGCAAAACAAGGAGAGGCTTGGGCGCTCACCAGGCCCCATCTGCGCCCCCCCCCCACGACCTCCACAGCCGCGATCCAGGTGGAGAAGGAGCCGGACGCCAACGCCACGTGGCCTGGGTAGACTGTGCAGGCCAACTCCTACCCACAGCTGCGAGCCTGTAGGCGGCGCGGTCCCGAGGATCCCCGGGACCCTACAGGGTGCTCCCAGTGGGTGCTCAGACTGGACACCCGAGCTACGGAGAGATCAGTGCCCACCTGAATGACAGCAGGGACCGAAGGCCGTGGCTTTAGGCGCCCGACTATGGGTCCCGCTTGGGGGATCACGCTCCGGGAGTCCAAGTTCACCTCCTCTCTCTCCCACGCCGGGCTCTGTCTCCCCAACACCCTGTCCTCTCCCCGCCCGCCCCCCCCCCCGCGCGCTTGCCTTCGCGTCCGGGTCTGCGAGTCTCGGAGGGCCCACCCGCCGGTCCCGGGGGATGGGGGTGGAGGGACAGGACCCCAAACACTCGACTAGAGGCTCCACAGAAGGTGGCAGCGTCCCGCCTTGTAAGCCTAGCGATCCTAGCGCTCTGGCCTGGATTAAAAGAGAAAGTTTTCCAGCCGGAGCGGATGGACCGGCCAGGTCCTCGGGACTCCCGGGTGAGCGGCCGCCTTCGCTCCCCTGCTGGGTCCTAGCGCCCTGCTCTGACGATCCCGTGGGACCCCGGGGGTAGAGAGGCTGGGCGGGGGAAGAGGTGCTCTGCCTGGAACCAGCGGGGTCGCCTGGAGTTCAGAGATAAAGAGACGCGCAATCTCAGCGCCCCGGACAGTGCCACTCGGCGGTGCGCGCCCTAGGCTGCCAGCCCAAAGCAAGGCACAAACCTCTCTGCGCCGCTGGCCTAGTCCTAGCTCTCAAGATCAGTCTGCACCACGGTAGCTCAAGACGACATGATAATTCTCTCTCCACCCCCTACCCCTACCCCTCCACCCTCCCTGCTCGGCCTCTGGATGCTCCCGGGCTCCCCGGTGCTGGCTGGAAGTGGGTGACTTGGGGAAGCTTAAAGGAGGGGCGCCCAGCCCCAGACCACGTGTGTGCGGGGGCGACAGCGCCGCCAGGGTGGGGCTGAGCGCGGGTCGGGTTGCCTCGCAGCGCAGGAGGCAGTGGGCGTTGCGCCACCGCCTCTTTTCCACTAGCGCCGGCGCTCCCCGCCCCAACTCGCCGCCGCCTTGGAGGCTGCACGGAGAGCGAGCTGGAGGAAGGCGGGCTCTAAGACCCGGTAGGCACCCCGCTGCCCTCGCCCTGGGTCCGAGACCCTCTTGGACACCAGGGGGCGACGTCCGATCCCCCTATAAAAGCGGGTCCCGCGCGGGCCTGACCATTCGCGACCCGGGGAGCTGCGCGGGGCGCGAGCGAGTTGGGGGCTCTTGGGCGGGCGGGCGAGCGGCGGGCGGGCGGGCGGCGGTGGCGGCGGCGGCGGCGTTGGCGGCGCCACGCGCAGGCTGGAGGCCGCCGAGGCTCGCCATGCCGGGAGAACTCTAACTCCTCCATGGAGCCGGCCGACTTCTACGAGGCGGAGCCGCGGCCCCCGATGAGCAGCCACCTCCAGAGTCCCCCGCACGCGCCCGCCGGCAGCGCCGCCTTCGGCTTCCTCCGGGGCGCGGGCCCCGCGCCTCCCCCAGCCCCACCTGCTGCCGCCCCGGAGCCGCTGGGCGGCATCTGCGAACACGAGACGTCCATAGACATCAGCGCCTACATCGACCCGGCCGCCTTCAACGACGAGTTCCTGGCCGACCTCTTCCAGCACAGCCGGCAGCAGGAGAAGGCCAAGGCGGCCGCGGGCCCCGTGGGTGGCGGCGGAGGCGGCGGCGACTTTGACTACCCGGGCGCCCCGGCGGGCCCCGGCGGCGCGGTCATGTCCGCGGGGGCGCACGGGCCCCCTCCGGGCTACGGCTGTACGGCGGCCGGCTACCTGGACGGCAGGCTGGAGCCCCTGTACGAGCGCGTCGGGGCGCCCGCGCTGCGGCCGCTGGTGATCAAGCAGGAGCCCCGCGAGGAGGACGAGGCGAAGCAGCTGGCGCTGGCCGGCCTCTTCCCCTACCAGCCGCCGCCGCCGCCGCCGCCTGCGCACCCGCACGCGTCCCCCGCGCACCTGGCCGCCCCGCACCTGCAGTTCCAGATCGCGCACTGCGGCCAGACCACCATGCACCTGCAGCCCGGCCACCCCACGCCGCCGCCCACGCCCGTGCCCAGCCCGCACCCCGCGCCCGCTTTGGGTGCTGCTGCGGGCCTGCCGGGTCCCGGGGGTGCGCTCAAGAGCTTGGCTGGCGCGCACCCCGACCTCCGCACGGGCGGCGGCGGCAGTGGCGGCGGCGGCGGCGGCGGTGCAGGCGCGGGCAAGGCCAAGAAGTCGGTGGACAAGAACAGCAACGAGTACCGGGTGCGGCGGGAACGCAACAACATCGCGGTGCGCAAGAGCCGAGATAAAGCCAAGCAGCGCAACGTGGAGACGCAGCAGAAGGTACTGGAGCTGACCAGTGACAATGACCGCCTGCGCAAGCGGGTGGAACAGCTGAGCCGCGAGCTGGACACGCTGCGGGGCATCTTCCGCCAGCTGCCCGAGAGCTCCTTGGTCAAGGCCATGGGCAACTGCGCGTGAGGGAGGCGCGCGGCTGCTGCGGGACCGCCTTGGGCCGGGCCCCCTGGCCGGGGACCCGGAGAATGATTTTGGGTCGCTGGATCTCCAGGCTGCCCGAGGCCGCGAAAGCCAGGACTAGGAGATTCCGGGTGTCGTCTGAAAGCTTGGCCTACTCCGCGTGTCCCCTCCCTTCCTCTGAGCCGGACTCGGTGCGTCTGAGATGGGGGAGTCGGGCCCGGGGTTCCTCCTTGAGACTGGGAGACTTTCCCCCCCCCCCCCGCGGAGCTGAGCTGGGAGCCCGGCCATGCTAGTATTAAGGAAGTAACCCCGTGCCTTGGATACTCAGAACCCGCTCCTTTTCCTACCGAGTAGGGGGAGCAAACATGTGCCTTGATATTTTATTTGGAGGACTCCTGCCTTCTCAGAGGCTGCAGCAGCCCCCCCCCCCAAGAAGAGAATGAAGGGTGCAGGCCCGGGGCAGGAGGAAGATTCAGGAAGCCGAGATCCCCGGCAGCGCTAGTCCCTGTCCTTAGAGGGGAGGGACTTAGGGAGTTGGGGATTTGAGTCTAAGAGTGCCCCCCCCCCCGCGCGCACTCCCCTCCCGGCTATTTGGAGGTGGAGGGTTCCTGATACCTGGCTTTTTTTTCACCCCACCTTCTCACCTCAGCTTGCAACAGGCTAAGTTTCCTGGGTGAGTTCGTGGGGAATGGGGGGGCACCACCCCCAGTTAGACCAGAAAGCTAGGTTGTAAGTTAGCCATGTGGTTAAGAGAGTGGTTGGAGGCAGGAACCTAAGTTACTGGTCTTGGGGGGTTGGGGGGACGAAAGGACACCGGACCGTCAGCCTTGTGTGTACTGTACGTCGCCAGCCGCTGTTGCTGAAGGAACTTGAAGCACAATCGATCCATCCCAGAGGGACTGGAGTTATGACAAGCTTCCCAAATATTTTGCTTTATCATCTGATATCAACACTTGTATCTGGTCTCTGTGTCCCAGCAGTGCCTTGTGCAACGTCGTTGCGCACGGCGATGCTAAACCACCATTTTATTTGGTCCTTTTGTTTTGTTTTGGTTTTGCTCAGATTCTTGCCAAAATGAGACTCCTCACTGGCGGCTGGGGGAAGAAGCTCAGGCCCTCTTTCCTTGTTGGTTTGGGGATTTTTTTTTCTTCTTCGTCTTCTTCTTCTGCTCCCGGAGGACCAGTGAAATGAAGTGGGCTTCCCCCTTCCCCCCAGTTTTCCCAGGGTGTCCTCGTGGGTCTTAGCTTCTTCCAGCTGAGACTGAACACAGGCACCCTCCCCCAGCCCGCCCCTACCCTCAAAGGCCCTGGCTCTGGGTCTGGAAAGAAGGTCACCTCCAGCCAATCCACGCACACACCCCTGTGGCTGGGAACAGGGGTGGACTGCTACCTTCTCTTCTTTGGGGGGAGGGACACACACACACAGTTTCATGCTAGACGTCGTATGTATTATATCTATAATATAAACATATCAAACTCAACGTTGGTGTCTTTTTAAAACCAGAAAGGAGCCACTGGTAAAGTGTGTTCAGGGTTGCACTTGAAATGGTGTTTCCTGTGCCTGAGGCCTCAAGTTTGCACCCCCCCTCTAGTCCCTCTTTACCTCGGCGATGCGTTTTGGGGGTGGACTACCCCTGTGGAAGCCACATTAGCAGTCTAGGGGACAAGGGCTGTAAGCTGAGAATGCCCAGAGTCGGGAGACTGAGTCCCCTTGGAATTTAGAGGTGGAGGGGGTAGTGTTGTCTCTTAGGACCGTGGTCTTTCTCTGCATCCCAGAATAAGAGGGACCCAGAAGAAGCTTGGTGGTGATGGTGGCGGCGGGCGCAAGCCTTTAATCCCAGCACTCAGGAGGCACAGGCAGACGGATCTCTGTGAGTTCGAGGCAGGGCTGGACCGACAGCCTCCAAAACAATACAGAGAAACCCTGTCTCGTAAAAAAAAAAAAAAAAAAAAAGAGGGACCCAGAAGAGAACACTTCTGCCTGAGGGGCAAACCCACCCAGAAGCTCTCAGTGGCCACATTCCTAAAGCACTCGGCTCTCCTACTCACACCTACCTTTGTCCAGCCTTCCAGTGGGGGGCTTGGGAAACAGGACTCTTCACTTCTCCCTACTTTCCATGTCCAGGATAGCCAGCAGGCTGAGCAACCACTTTGGACCTGCCTGGCTTCAACCTACCTGGAGGGTGGGGGGGGGGGCTACAGCCCATGTATCACCTGCCAAGGATTCATTAGCCTCACTCTCTCCATCCTGGACCAAACATTAGATTGGCGTACCTACTGTTACAGCTACCCCGTGAGGTAGGCATCCCATTGGTTGCAGTAACAGTCCGGTAAGGAAAGGGTGACCTCCATCAATCGCCATCCCTGCCTGAGCCTCGGGGCCTCCGGGCCCTTTTTCGCCTGGAGTGTACGATTGCTGAACAGCTTACGGTATATACCGGCGGGAAAGGACAAGGACTGATTAGTTCTTCACACTTCAGTGTCACCAGCCTTGGCTGGAAACTTGTCCAGCCAACCCCGTTCCCCTTCCCCCTCCGCTCTCTGTCCTGGGCCTCACGGTCTCCTCACCCATGGCCGCTCTTGGCAGAGGAGAGGCCACAAGCCGGGTGAGGAGGCGGTGGCCTGCCCCATCCGTCTGGGAACCAGGGAGGCAGAGCCCCACTTCGTGCCTAGAGGCTGGGGCAGGCCGTGGCTTGCAGGCCCCAGCAAACCCTCTCTGGGTTCAGTGAGAATTCCAGTTTTTCTTGCTTACGGGGAATGATCCTTGACTTCCCCCTTTGCCCCCAGAACAGGTCCTAGACTGAGGGGTGGGGAAGTGGGGGGCCCGTCTGGCTTCCTTTCCCTACCACCTGAGGTGGGGGGGTGTCCCGGTGTCCTCTCTCCAGGGGATCATGGAAGGGCATCCTTCCCTGTACAATGAGTTTCCTAGTAGGCCTCATTGGGAATAAGAAAGATCCGATCACACCAGAGAAGTCTCCAGTGTGGCCTGGGAGAGAGAGAGAGAGAGACAGACAGACAGACAGACAGACAGACAGACAGAGCGTGTGTGTGTGTGCGTGTGTGTGTGTGTGTGCGCGCGCACGCGCGTGCATGTGTGTGTGTGTCAGTGTGGGGTAGCCCTGTCCAGTGTGTGCTCTATGCCTAGCTGGTGGTGGCCTTGCAGGGAACCCAGACTTCATGAATAACTGGATGTGCCCCTAAATATTCACCGAATGCCCGGCGCCGGGGCCTATGCCAAGAACCAAGGCTTCACTGAGAACAGACTCGACAACCCTGTGACCCCAAGCCTTCCCTGATGTGGACACAGCAGCCTGAACCCTAAACCTAATGAGGCCAGTTCCACATGGAGGCTGTCCTCAAAGGCCTGCACACTCCTGCCTTGTCTGAGCCCTTCCCAGGACAGACTCTGCCCAGCTGCAGGGACGCCTGTTAACGCTCCTGAGCCCCGTGTCCCCTGGCAGTCTCCAGGAAAGGAACGCAGAAGAAGCGAGAGGGAGGTGACTCCTTTGCCACCAGATAGCTTAATGCTGTCACAGATGTCACCCTTATCGCCTAGATCTCCTGGGAATCTGTGAATGTGAGGTTTCGCCCTGACACCTGCAGATGAGCCATTGGGAAGGGTGAGGAGTGTCTGCCCCTCCCAGGGCTCCCGCCCCCCTCCTTCCCAGCCCAGGTGGAACCTGCCAAGCTGCTGATTTCACAAGAGGGGAGGGGGCCCCTCGTCTTGAAGGTCAGGGGGAGCCGAAACCCCGATTTTGCTTGTCCAGTGGGGCCCCCTTTCCCAGGCACCCACCGGCCTCAAAGCACTGTGCCTGCCTGCGTGGTGTTGACCTTGTAGCCGCTGCTGATACAGGAAGCTCTTTCCTTTCTCCCATCTCCTTCCCTTTTCTTCCTTTCTATCGTCTCCCCTTCCTTCCCGTCCTCTCTTCCCCCTTCCCTTCCCCTAACCCACCAACCCCCCCACATCTGTAATGCTAACCTCTTCTTTCCCAACCTCACCCCTCCCCACCCTTACCCTTCCCTGTGGATGGAGCGTTTAACGAAAGCTGTAACCTAGGGAAGAGACCAGTTCACTATCAAAAGCATCCCAGCCCCATCCCAGAACAATTAAACAGCCAGATGGAATCTCTGGGAAAACGCATTAATAACTCGAACAATCTGTGCAGGCCGGCAGGAGCCCAGGAGCCTGGAGCAGGGGTGGGGCTTGGGGGTAGGGTGGGCAGAAGAGGGAGACTAGGGACGCTGGAGTGTGAGCTCCCAGCCGTATCTTGCCCATGTGGTGGCCAGCAAGGAACAGCGGCGGGGGGGGGGGGGGGGGGGGCAGCAATCCCAAGGGTACGCTGAGTCTGCTCGCAGCTGTGCTGTCCCCTCTGGCCCTTGCAAGGCCCACTATGCGCCCTGGTTCCTGGCGGTGGCAAACAGAGCCAGAAAAATGTGGAACCCATTACTCAGCCGGCCTCAGCCACAGCCAGCCCTTTTCTGGCACCCGAGGGCTCTGCCTCTCCTCACTCTAGTTTTTATTTATTATTTTCTAGCTTTCTGGCCCCACCCGTCCAGAACGGGCCTCCCTGGGTGTGCGTGGAAGCCCTTCCCTTCCCTTGCTGGCCTCAGCCCCCCCACCCCACCCCGGAGCTCCCCATAGAAGTGAAAAGTCCAGGGTTCGTGTTGCCCGGCTGCCTTGTGCGTGAGGGCCTGGGAAGGGCTGGGTGTGAGCGCAACCCACTTCTGTCGTTCCCAAGCCTGGACTGAGTAGAGCTAAGAAGTCAGACTCTTCTGGGGCAGTTCCCCTTTTACAGACTGCTGTTGGGGAGGGGCACTGAGGTACACAGAATAAAAAGTCTCTCTCTCTCTCTCTCTCTCTCTCTCTCTTGTGTGTGTGTGTGTGTGTGTGTGTGTGTGTGTGTGTGTACGTGTGTGTGCTCGCGCGCCTCTCCGTGCTGGGTATTAAATTTAGGGTCTCGTGCATATTACATAAGTGCTCTAGTACTGCCGTCATGGTTATTGTTATTTTGAGACACTCTTCCTACGTAGCCCAGGCTGGGCTCAGACTTGTCACCTCTCTGGCTCAGGCTTTTGTGTGTCTAAGATGACCAAGTAAGCTGCACCTTACCTTTAAAAGGTGGTGTCTTCTTACAGCCATCAGGTCAGGGAGGAGATCTACTTTGGGGAGCTGGGGAAAGGGCTCAGTAAAGTGCTTGCCTAGTGCGAGGATTGGAGTTCGATCCCCAGAACCCACATGAAAATAATAATAATAATAATAATAATAATAAAAACAGAAAGAAAGAAAGGCTTGATACAGAGGCAAATGTTTGCACTGGGGAGGCAGAGAGAGAGGTGGACTTCTGGGGGCTGATTGGCCGATCCCCCCAGACTGTTTTGTGAGTTCCAAGCCACTAGAAGACACACACAGATTCCCTCTCTGCCTGAGGACTATACCATAGGTTATATACTGTCCGCTGCATCCATGCATATCACACATACACACTCACACACACTCACACACTCACACGGGCGCGTGCACACCACACTCAAGGGCGCACACACTCACACACCACACACATTCACGCACACTCACAGCACACTCACGCACACGCACACTCACACACACACATTCAGAGTGAGAGTACAAAAGAGAGACACCGAGGAAGGAGAGACAGAGACAGGAAATACTTTTTTTTGATTCTTACAGACCAAGAGATCTGTTTCCTCACCCTCCTCTTCACTGTCTCTGTGTCCCCATCCTCCACCCTTACCCTCCCTCAAGGTCACCGCTAGTTCTTAGAACTCAAGACTCCTTACTTGAAGTCTTGCTGGCCTTGGCTCCAACAGTCATCCGATGTCTATCCCTGAATGCCGGTATCTCCTTCCGACTTATCTCTCTCCTTTTCGGAAACACCCCTCCCCTCTGCTTTCCAGTCAAGGGTCTACTGGGTTGGCTTCAGGTCCACTGAGCAGGGGCTTAGGGTATCATTGTCTGAAGGGGCATAAAGGATGGATCATAGACTTCCCCGGTAGCCTCCAATTGATGAGTTCTTTCTTCTAGAAAACTACTTTTTTCTTTCAAGGACAGGGTTTCTTTTTGGGGGTGTGTGTGTGTTTCGAGACAGGGTTTCTCTGTGGCTTTGGAGGCTGTCCTGGAACTAACTCTTGCAGACCAGGTTGGTCATGAACTCACAGAGATCTGCCTGCCTCTGCCTCCCGAGTGCTGGGATTCAAGGCGTGCGCCACCAACACCCTGCTAGACAGGGTTTCTTTGTGTGGCCTTGGATGTTCTGGAACTCACTCTGTAGACCAGGCTGGCCTCGAACTCACAGAGATCCCACTTGCCTCTGCTCCCCAGTGCTGGGATTAAAGGTGTGCATCAGCAGCTGAGAAAGAAATTACTTTTAAAGAGCAAGACTGTCTAGCAAGGCAATCTGTCTAGTATGCAATGGCTCTCAGTGCTTACGTGGCATTAGTTTATCATCAGAGTCGGGGGGGG